GTAGTATAGTAGGATTACTCAAAAATTGCTTTCTGTATCCTAAATTTAAGTCTATTTTCAAGTTGTACAATAATCACAATTTTTATTGTACAAAAATTGAATGTTTTCTGTATCCTAAATTTAAGTTGTACAAAAATTGCATACTTTTAATATGCTTTGAAAAACTTCATAGCTATTTTTATCCAAAAATCTGCAATAATTGTACAATTTCCACACGGACTTGAACAATTATCGTACAAAAATTGGATGATTTTTTTTCATAGGGCAGGGTACACAGATGCGTCGCCTGCCGTCGCCTTTGCGTACAAGAATTTTTCGTCCAAAGTTAGATCATCAAGATTGTGTGATCAATTGGGACTTTGATCGAGTACTGAGTATCGAAATGATCGAGTATCGAGTAGAAGTCTATGAAAATAAATTATAAGGTACTAAATAAGTTAAGTTCCAGCCTATTTTTTATCAAAATTTTTATATGCATATTTTTGCAGGATTTTCAATATCAGGTGTCAATTATACGTAATACTCATATAAAAAGTCTCCGTAACAGAAAAAATTTTCGCCACCTGACCCTATATCAGTATATATTTCTGGGTCCTATTAGACCTCAAATTTAAAAGGGTAGAACAAATAATCAATGGTAAAAACTGAACATTTATAATAAAAAAAAGCGTAAAAAAAGTATAAAAATAGATGTGTCGCATTATAGTGTCTGACAATATTCTTTTTTTACTTTTGATTATTTTGCCAAAAGTGTGTTAAAGAACTTTTAAAATTGTTGAGGTCTTATAGGAATTACGGCTACTTTATTTCATGTAGGTATGTATGTGACAAAAGATAGTTAATAGTTATTTTGTAGTATATTTCTATTATATATAATATAATATTCATCAATCTTTTAACGTTATTATTCTATATCTGTTTTTTAATCTATTTATATTTTTTCCAACTATTTGTGGAGAGTTAATTTTTTATACCATCACGCCTCGGATAGCGTGATACATCCAATCAGATCATCATGTAACATCTCTCCATAAATTCATAACATCTATAATAAGAACATTTAAAAAAAAATAATTCTTTACATTTATATTAAATTTAATAAACAAATAAAAAAAACACTATTTTAAATTAGTAAAAAATGTTAGTTATTTCATGAAGGAGTCAGCTTGATAAATTAATATCTGAAATTTACTTAACCTCAAGTCCTGTTCCATCTAAAAAAAAGTACCAAAACTACAACTATAAGTGAAAAAAAAACCAATCATGCATTGCACTGTAATTCTACACAAAAAGCTATTATGATAAAAAATTACTATTTGAGTAGTTCCATACAACATGTTGAACAACTTTGCTTAATCTTCCTTAACCTGTATCACACTGCGCAAATTTCGGACGTTAGCCTGACACATTTCAGACGTGCGAATTTTCATTTGTTCAAATCAACTACATATTTAAAAAAAAAAATAAAATTCATTCGCCGCTAACCCAGGAAAAAATTTTTACTAAATATGTCAGTCATTCAGAAATCACCTAAATAAATAATTTTTTCCCAGGCGGCTGAGTACTTAAGAACTCTGCAGACGTACTTGCATATTTGGATGAGAAACAAACCATTTTATTTATTTTAGCTATACTTTTTTTTTTATTTTAAAAAAAAATAATTTTTCGAAAATAAGTTAAATTTTTCTGTTTATAGATTTTCTTCCCGAGTTAGAATCAGCTTTCTTATTTGTTAATTTGTATTTAACATAAATTTATTAAATTGAAATTTAAATCCTTTGACTTACAAATGAATTATGTTAACTTGATCTAATATTAGATATCATCATTAAGTAGGTTATGTTTATAAAAATTTCAAACTGCTCATTTATTTTAACGTCATTTTTCCTAATAACATGAAATTTTATTGTTAAAACTAGGAAACGGGAACCGTTGTAAGTCCGGAGCGAGGTATAATAAATAAAGATGTAGCGATATTCTACTAATTAGCAGCATAACGCCTTGGAATTCCGGTAATTTTCTGCTGATTAGCAGCATAACGCCTTGGAATTCCTGGACTGAGAAACTCACGTGATTGAAAATTTACACGTTATTTCCATAGATCATCATAGTGCGTAGACATATATAGTCCTTCGCTTCGCTCCGGACAACAAATAAATTGTATTTAATGACATAAATATTTTTCTCAAAATTCAAAAATATAATAACTTTAATAATGTAAAAAGGGTATCCGATCAAAAATCTCGACAGCCACTTGCACAACTAACACAAGATCGACAACAAAATCTCGACAATCCAAAATCTCGACAATCAAAATCTCGACAATCAAAATCTTGACAATCCAAAATCCCGACAAGTTATTATATCGTTCAAATGATTTTCGAGATTTCGTACCAAGAGCTGTAAAAAGTAGTTACGCTCAAAGATACTGTAAATTATCTTAAATAAAATCAGCAAGTTTGCCTTTAAAATAATTGACTGCATTATCTATAAAAAATAAATTACAAAATATTATTATTATTATATTAATAAATGAAATAAGGAAGGAAATTAATTAAAAATATCATAACTTTGCTTAAGTGGTCGGTCAGTAAAAAAGGGAAATCCAAAATTTTGGTCAAATTTTTTTTTATTTCCAATCATGGACACGTGAACAAAGTTAGCTAACAAGTAAACGTTAAATATGAAAAAAATAAAATTGAAGTACTAATTGAAAGATTGAAAGATAAACAGAAAAAAATCAAAAAAAAATTGATTGGTAATTCAAAAAAATAAAAAAAACTACAAAATGGCGCAGCAGAAATAAGAAACTTCTAGTACTATACAGTACCTCGCTTAAAAGTCAACTGCGAATATATTATATACGTATGGTAAAGGTTTCGACCTTTAATAAAATTATACAGCCTTTACGGGTGAAGTTTCATTTACTATAAATAAAAAAAATTTTTTCGCCACCCAACTCTCGCTACCCACACTTTAAAAAGAGTTTTACCCTTATTTCTGCGTAACTATTCTTATTTTAGACAAGTAGTCTATTTTACTTTCGTGTCGTTACATTTTTAACATATTGTTATGCATTTTTCAAACGTTTTTCCTCGATCTTTCCTTGTCTCCCTGAAAAATTTCACGTGACTCGCCCAACTAGATCAGGTTACAAAATCAATAGATCAAAAAAGTTTCTTTTTTGAGCTTGCAGATCAATCAACAAGTACCAATGAAAAATACACACAAATGATTACTTTATGAACACTACCCTATTCGTTATAAATCCACGAGTCGAAATCTTAACACAAAATACCAGATTAGTAAAATGCACTCGCTTTTTTTCTGCACAAAAATTATACCACGACGCATACAACAAAAATATTTCAACCAAATCCGTCAGAAAAACTCGTTGCCGCAAGAAAATATCGATTCCTTTTTGTTAAAACTCAATTTATAGATAAACCTATCCATCATCTTAAATATTGTCGTCCAGCAACTGCTCAGGATTATCCTAGGACCCCGAGCAATATATGTATAGGCAACAATATCGTTTGCTTAGTCACATGCTATTTTAGCCACGGTTAGACTGTTAGAGGTTGGATTTGCGTAAAATTAATGATATTTTTTGCTAATGTCATATTTTTTTCATTTGCTTATTTTCAAGAATTTTTGAAAAGTCATATGTTACAATTGCTTATTTTTTGAGTAAATTTGGTATTATTTAATAATGCATTATATAACATCTAATATAAGCGATGGTAATATACTAATATGCAAAAGTTAATAGGGGATGAAAAAAATTACTAATACGGATATTTTAGCTAAGATTATATTACTATTGAAAAAAGTGAAATTGTAAATCATAAATGCAAGAAAATTCGATCAAATAATTTTTGTAAAATATGATATTATAAAGTCATATGGTTAGATTGCTTATTTTTGGGCAATTTGTGAAGTCACGCGTTGAGTTTGCTTATTTATCTTAATAAAACCTTGCGTAGAACTATTATAAAAATTTTGACCTTACTTGTTACCTATATATGTATTGCTCGGGGTCCTATTATCCTTATTCGATACCATTTTTATCTTTTACACCTCGTCGTCAAACTCATATTAAAAATATCTTACAACAATTTCCAGCCATAGATAATGGCAACACTTCCTCTACTTCGTCTACAAATACTAACACTCAAGGAATTTCTCCTTCTAACTCTATCTCGCCACTACTAGACAATTCCTCGCTTGAAGACACAGCTGCTATAACTACAAGTACCGATAATCCTTTATCACAACCAGTAAATAAAGATTTCCCAGATTTTCAACGACGCGTACATCAACGACGTGCGCGTATCCAAGCCGAAATAATGAAGAAGATGAAATACTTAGAGCGGATTTCACGGCTAAATATAAAGCTGCTGTGATAAAGCATTACAGATTGAACGCCGCGAAAATGCCTGATATATCGGGACGAGTGAAAAAAGACTTAGAAGGTATGAAATCACTACAAGCGCACTCGAGACTTACCTACGCTTACCACAAAAAGTTGTCTAATTTCGCAAAACGCCGAAGAAAAGCCATCAACAAGAACGTTTAGAGCAAGAAATTGCTAAATTTTCGCTAACATATTTAGATTACGCGGCCGTATGTGCAAGACGAGCTTTTTGATTCCGACACATCGGATAATACTAAAGTCGTAGAACGACGTCCTAACAACGTAACACCGAGATGAATAAAATCTCAACTCACACTCTCTTTTGCATCAAGATAAGAAATTGCGTCAGTCACTGGCTCTTTTCTCATGACTTCTCGATGACTGGTTCCAGCAAAAAGAATTAACCGGAGTCCTTATACCCAACATATAATATAGTAGACATACAGCTACATCATTAAAAACTTTTTAAACAATTTAGAATAGAGTGAATCATAAACCACCCATGACAGTGTTTACGGGCGGCAACCTTGTGGTTGATTGTTATTCTTTTCTTTTCTTTTCTTCCCGCTGTTCCGTACTGGTCGGGTTCTGGAACAGATGGATTTCTCTAGTGAGGGTCCGCTCCGTTACGGTTTGGACGAAGTTTTATAATGTTGTCCGCTTCTTTTATTCTGACTGACTCTCATAATTCCGGCTCTGAAAAAATGCGAACAGCCAATAGTAAATTTTTTTTTTGGCCGGATCCTAACTATTTTAATATTTTTCGGGTCCCCGAATAATTCTTTATTATTAATCTCATCATGATCAATTTAATTTCATAATCAATTTTTATTTCAATAAGATATCCATTTATGATTTTAATTAAACCTGTTTATTCTTGTAATTCAAGTCGTATGACCATTAAATTTTTATTTAACATATCCGGATTATATCTCCCCAATTATACGAACTTATAAACTTTTTATAATAAGATATTTCATCCAGGCGGTCTTTAAAGAAGAGGATTTTGTTTCCCTCAGATATGCTAATTTAATTATCATTAGATGGTTACCTCTAGTATCGCTATACGTCTAGGTAACCGGACTTTTCGCCGAATGGCCATTTTGCCGAAATCCATTTCACCGAAGCCATTTCACCGGAACATTGTGCCGAAAATATGATAATTTTTAATCTTTTTTTTTTTTTGAGAAGACAAATAAATTATTTAATACATTATAATAAGTTACGTTTGTTTAAAAAAAGATAACATAATCATCATAAAATGAAAAAGAAATAGTTGAAGAGAATTTGTACTTTGATAATGATCAAGGAAAATATGTTAATCACTAATATTTCGGCGAAATGTCCTTCAACGAAATGGACGATTCGAGGAAAAGGATTCGGCGAAATGTCTATTCAATGAAATGCACATTCAGCGAAATGTCCTTTCGGCAAAACTATACGTAACCATATGCCCATATTAAATTCATAGTAATCAGAGAGTTTAAAAAAATTTTTTTTGCTTTAACTTTTATTATTTTCGTGTAGACAGTAGGTGTTATCATAATGTACCATCGTCTTAATCAGATTAGCAATTATTAATAATTGAGTGGGAAAAAATTAACGATTTTTTACAATGATAAAAAATGATCATCAAAAAGTATTTAAAGCGAGGACACTAAAATTATTACAAATAACTCCATTATTTATTAAAAAGAAAATTTCAAGACATAAAAGATTTCGAACCGAGATTACAATATAATGCATTCAACGAATTTTATAATAAAAATTTGAATATTATTTGATTATTTGAAGAACCGATACGTTAAATTATGATGCTTGTTTAACGAGTTCTTCAATGACTTCGGTAACAGGTTTAGGAGTGAAACTAAATTTATCATTATCGAACTTTCCGAGCTGCCCTTCTTGCACAATGGTAGCCTTGAAATCCTCCAAGAATGAGGGAACTGGATCGATCTTGTTTTTGAATCGATTTTTTACATCTTTATCAACAACTACTTCCCATTTTGAACCTTCATAAACCATCATTATTAGTTTATACTACAAAAATTTTACATTCTAATGACTAATGAAAATTAAATAAAATATGTACTCACCGGTAACTTTTTCAAATATTTCAAGATACTCATTTAACGACAAGTTCGCGCCAGCGACATTAATATGACCGTTACGAGCCTCTGGTATTTTGAGTGTCTCTACGGTATATTTTCCAATATCATGCAAAGAAGTGGTGGGAAATATTTTGCTACCATCATCATAGAAAGTAGCTTTCTTATTTTTAATATCATATCCCAACCAACCAAAGTATTCTTGAAATAATCCAACATAGATGTATGTATACTCAAGTCCACTTTTTTCTACTTCTTCTCCAAATTTGATTTTATCGTCAATGAGAACATGAGTTCCAGTTCTTTGTTAAAGAAAAATCGTTATGAATTTATCATAAACGTACAAAAAAAAACAGAAAAAAAAGAAAATAAACATACTTAAACTTTGCGCCATATTCAGACGGGATGAACCTCTTCACAGAGGCATCTTTAGCAGCGGCTAACAGTGGAGCTTGTGAATCATAAAAACCCGCGCCTTTAGGATCAAAATTTAAAGTGCTGACAACAACATCGGTTCCTTTAAGAGCCTTGACAAGATCATCATGTTGACTATAATCCGCATATACAATTTCTGCACCCTTGGAAGCTAACAATTTAGCCTTTTCATTTTCGTTTTCTGGTTTTCTTCGAAGAATTTTCACGTTATAAGATCCATCATTCAAGAATGCCTCAGCGATAGCATAACCCAAAGTACCCGTGCCTCCGGCTATAGCTACGGTTTTAAATTGTGAATCACTCATGATATGACGAATTTTTTGTTTAAGAGATATTTATCAGTATTTGATAGTTCCTTTTCGTTAAAATCCACCTTATATTAATACTTTTCTGAATCAAATGATTATTAATATAGCTCAGTAATTTATTAAGATAAACAGGTATTGATATTTAAGTTGCATATTAAGATTAAGTGTATTCTATATTTAGATTCTTTGTTAAATGAATATTCTGCATCTCTTAAAATCTTGGCGACCATGAGAAGAATCAATTAGTAAGAAAAAGGGATAATAATTAAACAAAATAATATTAATTATACCAAATAGAGTTAAAAAATATCATTATTATCATTATTCGGGAAAGATCGGACCAGGATATTCCGTGAATATGAAACACTTTATCCTTAAACAATATGGTGTCATATTTGTCATATTATAATTCGCACCTATGAAACTGTTTAAACTACGAACGTTGTGACGTTATACAAGATAAGAATATTTATTCTTATTCCTAAAAAAAAATACTTAAAATTTTTTGTTTGAGGAGAAAAAATAAATAAATATTCTCGTTCCAAGAATTTACTATTGTCTTTTGTCTCTTTGAAACCCAATAATAGAAAACAATTTATTTAACGGGAATAGTGAAATGAGTGAAATGCGTGTTCACTAATAATTATTTCATTATGACAATAAAATTTATTTTTATTTTTCTTCTTTTTATATAAAAATCAAAATTATTTCTAAAAATGGTAAAGAATAGCTGCGTGTCACATCATTCACATGCCGATCACAACGAGATTTCTTGGATTTCCTATTTTAAGACTTATTTGTTATATAAAAAGATTAATAATTCAAGTTTATAGTTTGTTCCGTAATTCACTAACCAAGTCAAAAGCACGAGTACTTCGGAAGGGTCGTCACCAAAAGATTTATTTGCACGCAAGTTTTGTGGGCGCGGTTTGTGTCGATCTTCGCCATATAAGGAACAAGTGACATTTAAGTGTCTCCTGATCACGTGCAGCCACGAGTTCAAAAACATTAAGTATCTGAGGGACTTAGTTTTTTTTTAGTGTCAAAAATTTATTTGTCACCCCTGTTACACAAAAAACCGCGCCCACAAAATTGGGGTGCGATTTATTTTATTACATGGTAATGGGAACCAGTTTATATCGTTTCATAACCTTTAAATCACGTGAATAAACAAAATTTGATTGGCTACTTCATTTGCTTATAGATAATCTTTTTTTTAACTTGTCCTTATTTTTTTAAAAAAAATAACGGATAACGGCTTTTTTGTTCTCACTTCTTACGTTCGGAAACCAGGTATGTTTATTGTTTTCTTCCTTTTTTTTCTTTTCTTTTGTTTCTTTAACAAAACGTTTACTAACGTTTTGCTAATTTCTTCTTTTTTTTAGATTTCGGGTAGTTGGACATCGGGATTGGAAGGTAATATTAAAAAATAATTTTTTTGGTGATTTCTTTAATGAAGTATTTACTAATGTTTCGCTTATTCTTTTTCTAGGGTTCAGGTAGTTTAATACTGGGCTTGGAAGGTAATATTCGAAATTTTTTTTGGATTTCTTTAACGAAGCGTTTTGCTAATGTTATTTTTTTTTTAGGTTTCAGGTAGTTGGATACTAGGTAATATTCAAAAAAGTGGTTTTGTTGATTTTTTAATGAAACATTTACTTTATTTTCTTGATTTTTTCTTGATTTTGAGAACTGAGAAAATAGGAAGTTTTATTTTTCTGATGCTACAATAAAGGTATATTTTTTAGGGTTTGGTTTTGACTTTTGTCTTTTTACTCCCTATTTCACCACACTAACCTTATTTCTTTCCTTTATTCTTTATTCTTATTTCGTTTCTTTATTCCATTCATTTTATTTCACTTTATTCCTTTTTTTTTCTTACTCCATTTCGTTCTTCATGTTCCATTTTGTTTCTCATTTTGTGTTTCATATTATTCTTCACTCCTTACTCCATTTTGTTTTTCACTTTCTATTCCATTTGTAATTTACTATCCCATTTTGTACTTCATTTCCTGTTCCATTTTGTTTACTTTATATTTTATTTTCACTTTTTCTTATCCTTTTTGTTTTCTTTTTTTCTTTGATTTTTTTTCTTTTCCTCTTCTTTCATTTCTTCCCCTTTTGTTTCTTTTTTTTCTTTTCTTTTCCTTATTTCATTTATTTTATTCTTTTTTTTATTTAAGAAGTTCAATTAATCAAATAAAATTAGATTAGGCGACACAAAGTGGTAAAAATAGTTTTTATATCCTGCCGGGTCAGTTTTTGTTAAGTATTAAAAAAAAATTTTTTTTATATTATTACTATGCCGGGTGAGAATTTTTTAAAAATTGAAAAAAAAATTTCACATAAAATTTTTGAAAAAAAATTAAAGGCCGGGTTGCCGAGTTATTGATGAAATTTTTATATTGTGAAAACCATAAAATTAAGTTTGTATGGCATTAGTCATATCGTATTAAAAAATTTAAATAAAAATTCATGTTTTTTTCATAAAATTGTTAGTCGTTTTGGCTAAATTTTAAGTTTTTTTTTTTAAAAAAAAAATAATAAAATTTTTCATAAAATTAGCCAATCAAAAATTTTATTAAATCACGTGATAGGGTCGCCAATTGTCGCCAAGTAATAACGCCCAATAAATATAAAAGCTTAATGATTTTTCAATTCCCATATACGTAAAATACTTAATACCCTTTGAAAATAGTAATAATAATAATAATAGTATCCACACTACATAAAATACCCCTTTGGGTATACCTCACTTTAAAAAATCCGGATATTTTACTATAAAGTATAAAAATTTTACCCTCGATTATGCCCCCTTAATTAATTCTGTTAGCTTAAGGTCAAAATTATACTTACGATACTCACGTGTACTTGAAGGCTCTCAATTCCGGCCAGTATTAAATATAATTTCTTAAAACTACTCTGTTCTTCATTTTTACTGATCTATCAAATAAACCTAAACATATAATTGCTATTATTGGATTAATTCCGGCCAGAATTAGAATAATTAAGAAATTGTCCACGCGAAATCATAAAAAATGGAGTATAAATATAAACTGTACTGTACGGTTAGCTAAACTGTACTGTACGAAGTGAGAATTCACCAATCAGATTTTATTGTACGATAAATAAAAAAAATTTGAAAAGTATACAATGAGTTATGATTGGCTAAAATATTTTCGTACAGTACAGTTTAGCTGACCGTACAGTACAGTTTATCTATTTACCTTAAAAAATGAAGTGGAGTGAATTGTTCATGAGAAATCAAAAATGGAGTGAGCATGTAAAAATAAAAGAGAAAAAGTGAACAAAATTGTCCAAGAACAAAATTAATAATTTATTTATTAATATAAAATAAGAAACTAGCAAGTTGAAAACTAAAAAAATAAATTATCAAGGAGTACCCCAGAATAACCACAAAAAATTTAACAGATTACAGAATGACCGACATTACAGGAGTTGTGACAGATAATATGTGACGAATAGGATATTTGCCCATGAAAATGGAAACATGGAGAGGTGCGACACCGGTGATAAAAAAGCCACGTGATTTTCCGTGAAATTTTTCAAATTGCTGCGGTAAGTTACCAAATTAATGATCACCGCTATAGTTTTTTATTTACAATTTATAATGGTAGTTAAAATATTTGCGAAAGATTTTGAAATTATACTTACAACAATAGTGTTACGCGGAATCGGCGTGTGTAAAGAAATCGGCGAGAATTGACAAATATCTCAAATAATCAAAATGAACGGAAGTTCCGACGGGTGAGTTATTAACCTCGTATAACTTGGTATAACTTATGCCAAGGATAGCTTAAATGAAATGAAGGAGTAATGTATATAGAAGGGTCGAACGAAGGTTGGGAGAGGAATTAGGATTTTAGTGTTAGCTTAATTTTTATTTTTTAGTTTCAGCTTTGGAATTGTTATTAGAATATTGTAGATATTGTAGCTCGCCAGCTGAGGCAACAATATTTTATAATTTTTGTTTATTTATCTTTGTTATGATCTATTTAGGTCCGTTGTACGCAATTTTTCAGGGCCGGAATTAAGATAATGCCAGCCAGTATCTAAAAAAGGTAAATAAAAATTTGACCCGCATTATTTGTAGAAGGAATGCTACATTTTATGTATATTTCTTTAATATTATTAATGCTTATTGCAGTATTTGCATTTATTGTTATACATTTATTGTTATTATGATTTTTTGTTTTCTCTTTATCGAATATCATCAGAGCAACCATACAATTATCCCAACTACTTAGACGTAAGACGACAAATACATCTATACAATAATGCACTACATTCCATAGTGATTTCTATCTAAAAAATTAAAAATTAAAAAAAACTAAAAAACTATAATACCCAAAAATCTTAAATACAAATTACAACACATTTTCGTTAGTTATAATTTTTGTTAAGTTAAAACTATCTAAGAATAAAAACTAAATTTACATACATAATATTTTTGCATAACTAAATATTTTGTTAAACTTTACATTTATTGTAATCTTTATTTTGTGCTATAAATTATAAATATACCATTTATTCACCAAATCCTAAAAGTAATTTAGAATTTCCAGGATAAATAAACATATCATAGCCACGTAATCACGTAATAGCGTCATTTGGATCGACTTGCACATTAATTTTTTCTCTCAATACAGTTTCCATTTTTTTCAAGGAATGTCGCCATTTCTTCAAAAAAAATAAAAGATTCAATTAAAGAATAATAATAAAATTTGTAGTTATGAGGATTAAAGTCGTAATTAATATATATAAATTGTTTTATTGTTCATTATAATTATAAGAGAATGAATGTATAAAGTATAAACTCTAATCATGGCATTAATCCTAAATGAGCATATTTTTGGGTTTAAAGCGCAATTCTCTTGGGAGATTGCAAATAGCTCCATATATAGCATCAGAACTGTGAACCGTTCTTTCAAATGACTGAAACCAATCGACGTTAATCATACTATAAGTCTTCCCCTAGTTATATGTGGCATTTATATCATTCTTAAATACCAGCATTATGCAATCTAAGTATATTTTTATAAAAATTGGTTATCTTTTAAACAACATACTATAATGCATTAATGCTAAAGCTTGAAACTAATTAAAACTATATGAGTTTGTATTTCTTTTATTTCTTTTTGAATTAGATAATTCTATAGTTTGCTAGCAATTATTAATGATTTCACTTT